TTTCCCTTTCTCCGCCTCTCCCAAGTGCTGCTGCTACTCACTTCTCCAGAACGACGACGTTTCATCCCCTCTCGCGATGACCACAAAGCCGTCGTCCCTCTCTCCCTCTCGCACAACCTGCGCTTCTCTCCTCCGCGAATTGCAGGTTCTCTCTCTTACACTAGCTCTCTCTGATTTTCTTGGCTTTTCATTTTTTCCATGTGAGTTTAATTTTCGATTTTTAAATTGCAGATAATTTGGGATGAAATTGGGGAGGGTGACAGCGAGAGAGACAAGATGCTTCTACAGCTTGAGCAAGAATGTCTCGATATCTACAGAAAGAAGGTGGAAATGACGAGAAAGTACAGGGCCGATTTGCACCAATCCTTGGCAGATGGCCAAGCCCAAATTACGGCTATCGCTTCGGCGCTTGGGGAAGCGGCTTCCTACTCACGTGAAAGAGGGACTCTCAAGGACCAATTATCTGCCGTAAAACCCATTTTGGACGTCTTGAGCTTGAAGAAGGAGAAAAGGGTGAAGGATTTTTCGGCAATTCAGTCGCAAATTGTAAGGATTTCAGCTGAAATAGCCGGGAATGGTGTTTCTAAGAATGTTGGTGATCCGGGAGTCAATGAGCGTGATTTGAATGTGAAGAGGTTGGGGGAGCTTCAGTCACACCTTGAGGAGCTTCACAAAGAGAAGGTACTAAGTGGTGTCTCTGCTTAGAACTCACAGATAATCTTAAATTTATCTTGGGTTTTGAATTTCACTTGTGTTTGCAATTGAATTTTTTGTTTTTATATCTGAATATGCCTTGTGCAGGTTTTACGTTTGCAGAAAGTCGACGCTCATGTCAACACCATCCATGAACTTTCAGTTGTAATGTCAATTGATTTCTCTAAGACAGTCAATGAAGTCCACCCAAGCTTGAGCGATCACTCCTCGGCTCATTCCAAGAGCATCAGCAATGACACACTTGCCAGATTGACGGCTTTGACTAACTCACTAAAGCAAGAGAAACAGCAAAGACTGCAAAAGGTGACTCAACATTGAATCTCTCTCTCTCTCTCTCTCTCTGGTCAGTACATGAATTAGAACTATTTTATTACCTTGTTGAATTAGTCTGTAAAGTTCTGCCCCTTTAATTTCCCAGTACTGTCTTGGAAGCCAGCATTGAATATTCTCTGTTGCAGTTATGTCAATGTCAGGACTTTGTTGTCATTTAATCTCTTCCAACCAATAAAGCCTTTTAGTTTTTTTTAACAGAATTGGTACAGAAATTTATTATATTTTGTTTAAGTTGTGAGACTAGCTAGAAGGTACAATGAAATTCTATATTGAATTGAAAGATAAAGGGACGTGGGCTTGGCTAATTAAGTAATTTTTTGCAAAGCAGTTTCTGTTTCCCCTTTGCTTCGTGTACAGAAAAAGAAACATAAATTTAGCCCTGCTTCATAATCATTTGAATTTTATATATAAGTTATTCTTTAGAGTAATGCAGCTTAAAATCTGAGCCTTATGCTGTAAAGTATAAGTAAGATTTTTCCTTGGAGTCCATTTATACGGATTTTCATTACTTTGTTACAGTTGTCATTTATCAGAATTTCTCTCACTCTATCAGTATATGTATGTTGTAGCTACAAGATCTTGGCAGCAAACTGATTGAACTCTGGAATCTCATGGAGACACCAATTGATGAACAGAAAATATTTGACCATGTTACTATGTTAATTTCATCCTCAGTTAATGACGTGTCAAGAGAAGGATGCCTTTCTCTAGATGTAATTGAACAGGTGCCAATTATTATCTTCAGTTTCTCTTGGAATTGCTCATGTAGAGAATATTGTGCTGTTATTTTAATGAATATGTAGTGCTAATGACTGCATGGTTATCATTACAATTTACTGTTTCTAGGCTGAGGTTGAAGTTGAGAGATTGAATATTTTGAAAGCCAGCAAGATGAAGGAGTTGGTGTTTAAGAGGCAAAATGAGCTGGAAGAAATTTACAGAGGGGTCCACATGGATGTAGATAGTGATGCAGCTAGACAGATTCTCAGCAGGCTCATAGATTCTGGTCTTAACGACCCTCAAATTTTTTGGCCTCTTATATATAGTTTTAAGAATATTTATAAAAAAAATTATAATGGTGAAACTGCCCTTGAAAATATGATTGTGGTGCATATGGCTTAACAGGTAATGTCAATTTGTCTGATCTGCTTTCAAGCATGGATGATCAGATTATAAAGGCCAAAGAGCAAGCTCTAAGCAGGAAGGATATTTTGGACAAGGTAGAGAAGTGCATATTTGCATTTGAGGAGGAAAAGTGGCTTGACGAATATGAAAAGGTAAAAACATGAGAAAAATTGTACAAATCCCCTTTTTATTAGGGGTTATTGAGGATACTTTTAGCACATGCTATTTAAGGAGAGGACATGCTTTATTATATAGCATTCCAGTGTTTCTCTTTCTTTTAGTGTTCGGTTGTTTTGTCAGATCCAAGTTTTTACATGTGAAAAATTAATTATGTTGATTAATTTTATTTAATTTTATAAACCAGAATGTAAGTTTTACAAGTACCTTATTTCTGTTTCCTTCAAATTTCCTGTTGTTTTTTTTCTTGCAGGATGAAAATCGCTACAGTGCAGGAAGAGGAGCACACAAAAATTTGAAGCGTGCTGAGAAAGCTCGGATTCTGTCTGGAAAAATACCATGTAAGCTTGTGATAATTTATTTGAACATGAGGACCTCATATAATAATACTTGTTAGACAAATGCTTTTTCAGTTATGTCATGTATTTTGTTCGGTATGCCCTTAAGAAAGGTACTTGTCAGGTTTTTTTTTTTTTTGTGGCTATCTCAAGTTTATCTTCTTCTTTCGTATGACAGAAGATATGAACACTTGACTTATTAATGTATCTCGCTCTAGCGTTTTGGTATTAGTGTTTAATTGTTGTATAACAGTATTTAAACTCATTTGAAGTATGGTTTGCATTTTGGCATTTTTGAATACCTTCAAGTATATTTATGTCCATGGTCATGGTGTATTGTATATTCCTAAGAGTTTATTTTGTTCAGTTGACTTCATAATTCCTGATAATTGCATGCATCAAATTATTGATCAGTATACTTATTTGTCTTCCATAAGTACTTGAAAAGGCTTATGCTCCCGACTCTCTGCAGAGAAGCAAAACTAAGGAAATTTTTTATGCTTTCTTGTTTTAACAAACTAATATTATCCAAGTATCTTGTTCTTCTTGGAGCATTTTGGTATCCTTACCGTTTCTAGAATAGTACTTTTCTTCTATTACATTTATTTGTAGGCTATATAAGATCTGGTTGAACCGAATAAGTTGAGAGTTATAGGAGCTCAGAGACTTAAATAAATCTCAGACCTGGGGGAAATGTCATTAGAAGGGAAACTGTTTGCATGTGGTTCAACTACGATAAAAGAGAACTGACTTCTATGAGCCAAGTAGAACAGAAGTACCAGAAATTTCGTGCAGAAGCAAATCACAGCCTTATGGTTTGTGTGTAGAGGCTGCATTACGTTGACTACTTTTGTTCTCAAAAGTGCTTTAAAAAGTCATGGCATGAAGCATTCATGGTATAAGATCTCAGTATACAGACCCCTAAGTTCTTGGGGTCTCAGTTTAGACCCCTATTATCAGACCATAGTTTAGATTTGATACGAGTATGGAAAAGCAACCAACTTGATTGTTTATTCTGTTCTCCTTTTCTGGGATTGGCTAGGCAATGACTAAGGTCATAATGTATTAATAGTTGCATGAATGGGCTGGGAATAGGTCTTGGGTTGTTTTCCTATTATTGAGAAGAAGATAGGCTAGGAATACTTCTCTGTAATAGGTTGTCCTAAACTTAGAAAATTGGTGGTGTTGTAAATATAAACAGATAAACTTTTGTTACTTGCAACAGTGGGATATATTGCTTGGTTTGATGAATAAAGTTAATAATTGCTAATAAGTGGAGCCGAAAATCACTTTTGGCTTTGGAGCGTAAAAAAAATTGAAAGAGGCACTTCTATATGCAACCAATATGAAAATGTCATCATACATTCTACTGTATGTTTAACCAGGCAATGTCTATTGCTTGGTTATTCGAAACTGTATGACACTCCAATTTCATGAGACTGAAATTATATTGAAAAGAAGGCCGATTTGCTTGCACTGCCTAGTTCCTTAACAGTGTTTTTATTCTATATTGTTATTTGATTACTCAAGATTGGACGTTTCTCTATTAACTAAACAAACTTTCTTGACTAGCTATCATCGAAACTTTGACTGCCAAAGTTAAAGCCTGGGAGATCGAGAAAGAAATCCCTTTTTTATATGACAAGGTGATCCTATATGGTTTACTGGTTGCTGTTGTTTATATATATAATAGTAATTTTTTTTTGTCTTAGTCTTGAGTTCTTAGTCCAACATCTATATAAATTTCAGGTTCCTCTGTTACATACCTTGGAGGAGTACACTGCACAACGACAGGAGAGAGAAGAGGAGAAGCGTAAATCTCGGGTATGCTTGGACTTACTATTTTTCACCTGTTTGCTAATAAGTAGATGAAACACCTTGCCATCAAGTCTTTCATGTTGTCTGCATTGATCTAGAATGCAAATAATTTCCACTGCCTATCTTCTGTTGCTCTAAGTGCTAAAGGTAACCTGATTGCTAATGCGAAAATGACAGAATCTCATGTTGTGTCAACATCTTGAATTTAGTAGACATTCATGTCTCTGCATCTATCCTGGATGTGATCATCTTGTTTTTAAATTCATCTATTTCTAATTCCATACATACAAGTTATGTATGTCATCACTATTTAGCCTCTGGTTAACTTTTACAGGAGCAAAAACGGCTTCAAGAGCAACATAATGCAGAACAGGAGGCACTCTTTGGTTCAAGGCCTTCTACAAAGAAGCCACTGGGACAGAGCACCAATGCTAACACCATGGTCGGCACACCAATTAGTCGCCGGACGCCCTTGGGACGTCACGGAGTCTCAGCTGGGAAGGAACGCAGAGAAAGTGGAAGGGTCCATAACCTAACCCCTGTTAACTACGTTGCTCTGCCAAAGGATGATTCAGTTTCTCGGAGAAATTGAGGGTCATCTGTTGCCTTGAAATAGGTTGTAAATGAATACATATTTTTAATTTTTAATTTTTTGTTCAATGCAAGTCTACATTATCACATGTTCAGATATTCTACTTGAAACAATAGAGTAAGGGTAGTTTGGAGCAACCTGATTTCAGCATGTAAATGATTTGATGGTGAAAGTTCAAATCAACTTAGTCATCTTCAAGTTTGGTTATAAGGCCATCTCCAGCCATGGGCTATATCTCAAATATAGCCCTAAAATAATGCAAAACTCATCTCCAGTCATGCGCTAAACAAAATTTTGGCCAAGTTTGAAGGGCCACATTTGGCCTTTTAGCCCTTCAGTCGGGCCAAATGTAGCCCAGCTTTGGCCTCCAAATTTGTAGTGGGGCTCATCTACGTAAATTTTTAAAAGCCTTTTGAATGTTTCAATTTGTAGTGTTTAAGAAAAAAGTATAAAAAATTGTTGGCAATGATGTTGGAGGTCAGTCCTACCCACTCCCTTTTTTTATTTTTATTTTTTATTTTTATAATTTTATAATTTTAATTTTTAAATAATAAATGTGGTCAGCTTTTCAAATCTTTTCAAGTGTTGTTTAAAAACAATTATAAAAAAGTCTTGTTCATGACCATTGGAGCTCAAACATTGAAACCCATTCTTTTTTTTTGGTTGGTCTTCACATTTTTAAATGTTTGGTATTGTTTAAAACAATTATTAAAAATTAAGGGTCATGACTGTTGAAGGTCAGACCCTTGAAACCCTTCCAATTTTTTTTTTAATTGCCTTTATTGGCTTTATTTATTTTTAAAAAAAATAGTAGTTTAATTAAATTAAACAATATATGGTTGTAGAATGTATAAGTGTTGTACCATAGTTTTTCTCAAAATAATAAAATATGAAGGACCCTAAAATATAGCTATGCATTGCTGGAGATGGAAAAATTTAGCCCTGCACTATTCTTTAAAAAATTAATATTTTGGGAGGCTAAATTTTTAGCCCCGGACTACATTTAGCCCTACGGCTGGAGATGGCCTAAGATGTAGGCTGTAGGATAACTTTGGACCATATCTATAGGATCTACTAGGAGACCCATATAAATTTAACATTGATATTTTTTTATACAAGCAATATTCTATTTTAAGCTAATCTAAACTAGGGGGAGGGGCATTCGAACTCGGTGAAGAGTGGGGGAGCACATCCGCTCTAGCCAACTTGGCTAATCCCATGTTTGTAATTTCACTTTTTTTTTTTTTTTTTTAAATAAACCAACTTGCAATATAGTGTAAAATAGTGTGTGGGCACTAGTTCTCATTACACAAGCTTAGCTTGGACTAAATTTAGTCCCACGTTTGTTCCATTTAATCCTAGTATTAGATGAGATTGCTAATGCTAGCTGGGCTCACCAAAAACACCTCCTTAGGAGGGGACTAATAAACCCATGTGGAAAAGGATGATTTCTCTTTTTTAATTACTTTATTTAGTAGTTGTGTTTTAATTACCATTTACTTAGTGAATAATTAGTATTTAAATATTTCATTAAATGAAAATAAAAAATTTTAAAATAATAATTACCATTTATTAAGTTAATTAAATATTTAATTATTCACTAAAGAAATAATAATTAAAACATAATTACATATGAAAGTAATTAAATAATTCTGCAATATTATTTAATTACTAAAAAGAAAATTTGAAATAAAAATTTATTGGACCTAAAAGATACTAAATTTATATTTTATTTTAAAATAAAATCTCTCCTAACGAAGTTTCGTCGGCACAGGTCTATCTCGGAGAAATTTGCAGGAAGAGACTTGCCCTGACGAAATTAACCTCTACCGATGAAATTTCGTCGGGGGAATTCTTTGGCAAATTTCGTCAGGATAGACCTGTGCTAACGAAATTTCGTCGGGAGAGGTTCTATGGCCTTTTTTTTGTCCATAAAAAAAAATTTACTTTATTTTTTGGCCAACTTCTTTAGTTTAATATATGTAATTAAGTAATATCTTAGTTTTTTCTAATTACTTTAATTGGTAACTTTAATGAATATTAAATATTTTATTCATTTCATAAATTACTTAATAAATAGTAATTAATTATTATATATATATATATATTTTGTGGACTTTGTTTTTAAATTATTGTTTTCACAAAATCAGTTTGGGTAAATCCAAGTCTCGAACCAAAAACCCTAGCTTCCGAAATGGTTCCAAAACCTTTCTATTCACCCGTTTTATATTTGCTTCTGTGATAGAAAGGTAAAATTTTCCATTACCTTGAAAACTATTGACTGGTCAACAAGTCAATTTTCTTTAGTGTGCGAGCGTACCACTGCTAGTAATAAAAATTCTAGCAGACTTCTTAAAAATTGGATAACTTGCGTCCCAAGTTACTGATTTCTGCAAACAAGCGATTGTGAATTTGGGTGAGGAATATCTCCCAAGTAAGTTCTTTTCTTGC